CGGCAGCTGGACGGCGCGGGGCCGGTGCGGGCTGTGGTCGGCGGAGCAGGGGCCGGTGGCGCTGGGGGCCGGCGAGTGAGGGGCCGGCTGGGCGCACAGTGCTAGCGGGGCGCATGGGGCTAGTGGGCCGCTAACAGGGCATGCGGGGCAAACGGGGCTAGCGGGGCGCATGGGACCAGTGGGGCACACGGGGCTAGTGGGGCGCGGCAGGGCTAGTGGGGAGCGATGGGGCTAGTAGGGCGCACAGGGCCGGTGACGCGTACGGGGTCATAGGGGCGAACGGGGCCAGCGGGGCGGACGGGGCCGACGGCGCTCACGGGGCTAGCGGGGCTCGACGGGGCCAGCGGGGCGAACTGGGCCAGCGGGGCGTACGGGGCCGGCTGGCGCACGGGGCTAGCGGGGCTCGACGGGGCCAGCGGGGCGAACGGGGCCAGCAAGGCGTACGGGGCCGGCGAGGCGCACGGGGCTAGCGGGGCTCGACGGGGCTAGCGGGGCGCGAAGGGGGCTAGCGGGGCGTTAAGGGGCCAGCAGGGCGTACGGGGCCAGCGGGGCGCACGAGGCCAGCAGGGCGCTAACGGGGCCAGCGGGGCGCTAAGGGGCCAGCGGGGTGTACGGGGCCAGCGGGGCGCTAAGGAGCCAGCGTGGCGCTAACGGGGTGGCTAGGACTAGGCCTAAGGCGGAAGCACGGGTGGGCGGGGGGGGGACCTAACCTAGCGTGATACCATGTAAAAGTAAGAATGAATTACTAGAATGAGAGATACAGGGTGCTTTTGTGCTAAGGGGTTGTACTCTCTAAGAGTACGCACCAAGAGAGACAACCTTGTCCGCTTGTGGGTGGCTGTTGCTATTCTGCCTTTCAGCACAGTAGAGTGCGAGCGCGGCTTCAGCCGCCAGAACATCATTAAGTCTTGGTTGCGTGTTAATTTGTGCGATGCCCAAGTGGCCGACCTGATGTGCATTTCATTGCTAGAGTACCTGATGAAGTGGGAAGATATCATGGCTCATTTCCGTGCTCCAGTGCAGCGGCAGCAGGCAACGAATGTCGTGATGCCCCCCCTTGAGCCGCCTCTCAGCCAGAAGAAGAAAGACAAGGCGGTCAGCAGGCCCCTAGATATCAGCCTTTTTACGCTGATTCAGCCTTTTTTTTTGTACCAAGGCTGAACTGAAAGACTTTTTATTATAGGTAAGGCTGTCAATTTCAGAATTTTTTTTATAGCCTAGTCTGATGTTTTCAGCCTTTTTCTAGAGTGTAGGCTGAGGTTTCAGCGCACTCCCTGGGGGTGAGGCTGAAACCGAGTATATTGTGTTTCGGGGGCCCCACGCGATTACCGCTAAGTGATAGGTTTACCCCCGTCAATCACGCCGCGTGGCTGCAATGTTGGGCTGTCGGCGTGACATCTGACGCGGATTCCCCTCCACCGTTGCTAGCACACTAGCGACTGCGCATTGTGATTGGGTGTTAGCCAAATTTCAGCTAAGTAAACCAATCGCCAGAGCTTTTTGTGACTCAGCTGCATAATCGCTGGTACAGCAGTGCAGAAAAGATGCTCCCCCGGAGCGCACACCTAAAGATTCCAGAAGGGGGTACCCCCGCGAACGTTGCATGGGCAGCAGCAAAACCGCACCGCGTTCTTGAAGGGGTCGTCTGCTCCAACGTGTTCTCCATCGTCTGGAAGTAGGCTTGCCTTGGCCCGCGGTGTCATTTCTTCCTCGACGCCTGTTAGTAATGGTTTAGGACCCTCATTCCGCTCCTCTCATCATGGCGGAATCGGGTGGAGACAACGACGTAGGCGACGACGATGCCTGGCAGGTCGCGGACGAGCGCGAAATGCGCACGGGGCTAGACCTGTTACTATCGTCCCTCGGTAGTATTCCGTTAGCACCGCCGCTTCCAACACATCTCGATGAACCGAGTTCCAGTCGCCCTCCTTCGCCAGAAGCACGTCGTATCGTGCGACCTGCAAGCCCGTTCTTATCTTCATCTCCCACTCGTCCAGCTTCTGTACTAGATTCTGTAGCGTCGCCGACTGCCGCGAAGCCCACCCCTCGCACTGGCCGTTATCGACAGATACGACTGTCTTTTGCACCTCCGGCGAAAGATTGCGAGCCTGCCGCTTCCGACTCCGACGACGACGAGGAAGAGGCAGAGGTGCCGTCTGCTGGGCGGAAGAGGCTGACGCCAGAAGAAACATATGCCGACGCGTTGGACCGCTTCCAATCCCGCTGCTCTAAGGCCTATCCATGGCTGCTCATCACAAAAACTGACAGCGGCCTGCCCGCCTTTAAGTGCTCTGTGTGCACCGAACATGCAGGTCTGAAGGGGAAAACTGGCAGGAGCGGGCACGGAGCGACCGACGTGCAGGTCCAAGCGTTCAAGAAGCACGCTGCGACTACTCGACATGAGCTCGCGGTGGCCAAGCAAATCGACTTGCTGCAGATGGCGACCAACCAACAACGCATCGACCAACACCCGCTCGCTCAAGACCTGGAGCTGCTTCACGTGTCTTCATTGCTCGACGTGCTCTACTTTTGCAGCCGCTGCAACGAGCCGATGGAGACGTGGATTCGTCTCACGCGATACCTGGCGGAGCGGAAATTCCGCGGCTTTCCAGAGCAAGGCTACGGAACGTACTACAACTCGTAAGTCTCCGACCGTGTTTAGTTTTTATCTGCATTCGCGACTTTTTCACGTCCTCATCTCTCTTTTTGTGATACCATGGCAGGTATGGCTTCGGCCAGTTCACACAAGGCCTCGCGACATGGCTCCAGACCACTCAGCTTGAACACCTCCTGGCCAGCCCCTTCATCGGCCTCAGTCTCGATGAGAGCACCGACCGCTGTCGTGGCAAACACATGATTGTGTTTGCCACCTTCATTCGGGAGAAACGTCAAGTGACGGAACTCCTTGCGCTCCTCACAGTTGACAGGGCTGACGCTGCCTCGTTGCTCTCGCTGTTGTTGTCCCACATCCAGGCTATTGGTGTGGATCTACGTCGAATCTCCGGCATCAGTACTGACGGCGCTGCCGTCATGCTCGGGAAGACGCGTGGCCTTGTCGCTCGACTGAGAGTGCTTGTCCCACACCTCGTGTCATGCCACTGCATCGCCCATCGGTAAGTGTTATTTAGGAGTCTCCCGCTTTTGTATACCCGCGAGACGTGTTTTAGGCGCTGGCGGCCAAGGATGCCGCGGAAGAGATGAAGAGTTTCGGCATCGTCGACGACTTCATCAAGGAGATTGCAGAGTTCCTCGGTCGTTCTGGACCCTGGCATCAACGCTTCAAGGACATGCAGCAGATGTTCAACGACACCAACCTGGAAGTGCAGGGGATCCACGCCATCCGATGGCTCTCTCGCGGTGAGGCGATCCTCCGTCTTTTGGATGTGCTACCAGCTGTGCTGGTCATGGTCACGGAGCTGAGGAACTCGAAGTTGCTGGCTATTGTTCGGAGCTATCGTTTCTGGTTCTTTTTGCACTTTCTGGCTGATGTTCTTGAGCAGCTCAACATCCTCAACAAGGTGTTCCAGCAGCGGGAGGTGCGTCTTTCTCAAGCACGTGCATATGCTTATCATGTTATCCTGTCTCTTATTTCCCCACCCACCTTCGCCCCGTGAACACCTCTCCTCGCAGCTGGACTACGCGACCGTCGCCAGCCAGATCGCGCAGACTACCGGGTTGCTGGAGAGCCGGTATGTCGACTGCGGCGACGACTTTGGCGGCACCGAGATGTCGTGGCTCGGCCAGTTCCTCACCCGTCACGGCCCGAACGGTACTCCAGAAGTCACCGTTGACGGAGTTGCATCTGATGGCCGTCCCGTCCGCATCACCGCAAGACTCCATTTTGAAGAGATCGACGGCTACCCCGGGGAGGGAACACACGAGGCCTGTGTCGACGACTGCACGGCCTTTGCTGAGGGGTTGTTGAAGGGCTTGGACGAGCGTCTCGGGGACCTAGAACAGCTCGCGGGATGTCGCCTCTTCTCTGCTGATACCTGGCCGCCAAACTGGGAGCGCTCCGCCAGGCAGAAGCAGTGCCTGGAGTGGTTTGGCCTGCTGGTGCAGCTCTACAAAGCGGAGGATAGCGAAGAGATTCTGCCAGGTGCTGTCTACCGTCTGAGTTGCTTTGTGTTCCGTCTCCCTTTTTACGCATGTTGAGATTCCTTGGACTATCTTATCTTTCAAACCTCTTAAAATCCCCCGCTCGTCTTTCCCGCCCCCTCCAGGCATTAACAAGAGGAGGGCGGCCAAGGAGATTCGCCACTTCGCTACCATGCTCGCACGGCTGACCACCGTCGACCGCAAGTTCTATGCCGGCCTCACCGCTGTGCTCAAGACCAGCGACTGGAAGATCCACTACCCCAATCTCGTGGGGTTGTGGGTGGCGGTGGCCGTGCTGCCTCTCAGCACTGTCGAGTGCGAGCGTGGCTTCTCCCGCCAGAACCTGATCAAGAGCTGGCAGCGCGGCAGCCTCAAGGATGCCCGGCTTAGCGATCTCATGGTGATGTCTATGCTAGACTATACCCCGGATTACCCCGCTGTAGTAGAGATCTGGAGGGCTTACAAGAAGAGGAGGCCCCATTCCACATGTCGGCCCCGTCCCCAGAGCAGGAAGGGCAAGGAGAAGGTGGATGATGATGATTGTAGTGACCCCATGGATGATGGGGGGAAACTAGATGCTTATGTAGACGTCGAAGATGAAATGTAATGACTGTCATTAATGAAAGTGGCTTTGTGAAGTTTCAGTGTTTTTTTTTGTACCAAGGCTGAACATTCAGCGAAACTTTTTTAGTCAAGGCTGTAACATTCAGCCTTTTTTTCCAGGGGGGCGCTGAGAAATCAGCCTAAGTATGGGGGGCAAGGATGATAAATCAGCATGCCTAAAAACGAATCTTGGGGCCTGGCGGTCAGCAAGAAGAAGAAGCGTCTGAAGAACAATGATGAGGCCGTAGACGTGCGCGGCACTAAACATGTAGATGGTGATTCTGAGTGGGTAGGATCGT